ATTTGGTTTTGCCATTGTTTTGGCTTTATTTTGGCTTCCTATTCAGGGGGAGCATTGTTCATGTTGCTGAAGTTCATTTCAGAACAGTGGATTTTGCCGATGTCCATCCCGACAGTTCATATTAGGTTGCTGATGTCCATCACAGCCCTTCCTTCCTTTGCTGATGTCCATTCCAGCACATTATAGCTGATGTCCATCCCATGATGATCACGTTTTTTTGGTTATTATGTTTTCTTGATTTTTCTTATTCAAGATGGAAGTTCTCTTTGTTCACTCTTCATCTTGAGGGGGAGTATTAGATATTAGGTATAAGGATAGTTTAGTATTCCAATGATATTCTAGAATCTTTTCTTGTTCTTTTATATAAGAGTCTCATTGTACAAATTAATCACCCAATCAATGAAATCAATAGTTTTCACTTTCTCTCTTTTACCTTCTAATAATTATTGATGATGTGATGAGTTTTTATTAGGATAATGTGTTTGTTGGTGTAATGTATTATGTGTCTTTTCATTATTCTCTTTTCATTTTTAGAGTATGGATATTCTAACTACCAAAAATTCTTACTACTAACTCATTACCCATCACATCACCATTGGATCAAAGAGAGAGAATGTTAAAAAGTTTTTGAAGAGAGAGAAAATGTTAATCTAATGGTGATTAGATAGGTAGTAAGTTGGTAGTGAAAAATTTTGGTAGTGAGAATATCCCTCCTCCCATTTTTATACTACCAACAATAGGCTTATGTCATTGCTTTATGAAATTGAACAATATTCCCTTTTTTGCCGGACATACCTTGGAACCACTAAGGACATACCAATCCCAGATTAAATGAAATAATGAACAACGATGAAGATATAAAATTGTTAAAAAGTTCATATAAATGTGTAGAATTATAGAGAGAAAAAGTTTAGAGATGGGTATACGAACTTGAGTTCACGGATTAGCCCGTGTGCGATATGATCACCATTTATTTTATATATACTTCAAAACTCTTCAGTGAGTTTATGAGCTGGTCCGTTTATGCAGTAAGTTAAATGGGCTGGGGTATGTATCCTATATATATACTTCAAAACTCTTTAAAGTTTTGTTTTCATCTGCCTTTAAAAATTCCGGCCCACACCCACGAACTAAGCTGACAAGGATTGGTTGTCATTTAACGAGCCACCCACATATAGCGACTATGATAATCACAATTTTTTTTTATTTTTTTTTATTTTTTTTTGAACCACTTCTTCTGAAATCTGATCTTTGAAACGATTAGTTTTGTTGGTTTACCAAATTAAAACTAACGAATCAAATACTTCCAGATAGTGTTACATATTGACAATATGACCAACAATTTGCAATGACATAACGTGTTTGAAAATGTTATTTTGCCCACCCTTACCTACAAATGAGATGGATGGACACACAGATTGCAATAAAATAACACGTTATATCCTTCCCCTTGTATAACTGATATTTGAAACAATTAGTTTTGTGGGTTTACCAACTTAAAACTAATGAATCAAATACTTCTGGATAATGCTTAGTTATTGGCAATAAGATCAACAACTTACAATAAAACAACTTGTTAGATAATTTTATTCTTCCCACATATAGATTGCAATAAAATAATGGGTTCGTTTTTTCTGCAGTTACTGCAGATAACTTATCTGCAGTAAACTAATATGACGTCGTTTTGGGGCGGAAATCATGGTGTTTTTGTAATTTTAATTTATTTCAGGGTTATAATAGTCTTTATATTCATAATTTTTTAAGATTTCAATATCAAAACGACGTCGTTTTGAGAATAAATGTAGATAACTTATCTGCATTAATTGCAGAAACATTTTTCTCTAAAATAATAACAGGTTATAATATCCTTCTCCTTCCCCTTGTAGAACAGCTTGACCAAGGAAAATGTTTTTCTTATGTTGTTAGAGATAGTTATATTATGTTAGTGAAACAAAATTAAGAGGGGTTCACAAATAATTGAAGAGAAAAAAAAATAGAGGTGGGACCCACCTTTGTTATGTGTGTGTAAAAATTTGATTTATCTCATGTTGAATGAGATAAATATAACTTTTTTTTAAACATATATTACATCTATAGCTATTATTCAATCCACCCACACGTGAGATAACGTGATTTCTAATCCTTAATTTGAGTATAGTCAAATTAGTCTCTGAGCTAAAGTTCCCTATATATGCAATGAATCAAATTAGTCTTTGTATCAAATGGTATTATGGTAGCAGTCAATGTTAAATGTTAATTGAAATGTGGGCATTAGTTAATGTTAATAGAAATGTAGATGAGCACGTTAAGTACCACGTCAGTTGCACATGTGACAAGCAATTTTTTTCTTGTTCCCACATCACACCCGTTTTGGTATTTATTCCATTTCAAGTCACTTGAAAACTCCATACCAACCACTGACCTGGAAACTTTTAAAATGTATGAGAATCTGCTGAATTTTTAAAATTTGCCATAACCCATTTGCCGAAAATCAGCCACTTCAAACTTTAGGCTAAAACCAAGGACAAAATAGGGAGTTTTTCAACTCAAGTAATCTCGTGAACAAAGGCAAATCTCCCTATGTACCCAAAAAAAAAAAGGCAAAGCTCCCTTTCCCCGTAATATAGAGATCCTACAAGTGCATTCCTTCTCTCTCTCTAACACACACACACAAAATAAAATAATAATAATAATAATAATAATAATAATAATAATAAGAGTTTGGTGTTTGTCATTTTAAATGACATAAATTATGTCATTTTAGGAGAGAGATAGATACAAAAAATAAAAATCATGGGAGAGAGAAAGTGAGTGATTTTTTTCAATTTAAATTTTAAAATAAAGAAAATTATTTTGTGTCTATCTCTCTCTTAAAATGACATAACTTTATGTCATTTAAAATGACAAATATTTTTCCCTAATAATAATAATAAATGGCATAAGAAGAAACAATACATCATTGCGTAGAGAATAGCCAAGAAGAGAAATAGTCTCTTTCATAAATAACTCATTACAAGAAAACCTTTTTAAATTTTTTTATCTAAAGGGTGAATTCAATACAGAAGCTTATTAAGTAAACGTATGATTTTATATAATATATTTATTACATTCCCTTTCACGAATAATTTTGATGGATTAAAGCATGGAGGACAACACCAATAGATCATTTTTAAGTTTTGAAACAAGGATTTTATATTTTATTTTTTTAAATTCATATCTTGTTTTGTACCTAAATTCCAAAACCAAGCAATTTGCAATACTAAGAGTTGTTTGAACAAAATATGAAGTCAGACACTTCTTTAACAAAATCAAATGATGGTAACTCAGTTGACACATAAGAAGAGTTTAAAATTTAATCATGTACCCACTCCGAATTGAACTAATCGCGAAACAATGAACCGACAAAATATTAAAAAAAAATGAGTTCTCCGAGAAAAGCAATGCAGGTGACACTTGTAGGAATAAGAGTGGTAGGACTCCCAATGGCCAGCATTATTCACAAAATCTGAGTTCCTCTTTCACTCAATGCAACAAGGTAGTGCTAATTTGAAGCTTACTTGTAGTGCGACTGCCACACACTCTTAAACTCCAAAGTGGCAATGCAAGATTGACACAGAATTAAAGGTTTTGAGCATTTGAAGGTGACAGGTGTTCGATCTTTTCCAGTATCATTTTTGAGAGGAATTTAAAACTTAATTCTAGGACCCGCTCCAAATTGGACTAGTTGCGAAGCGATAAATTGATTGAAATATCCTAAAAAAAAAGTTAAAGGCCAACAATGGAGGGAAGAAGGTTCAAATAAGAAAGAAATTTTGATGTCAAAGACCAAGACACAAGGGATGTGTCTCCATTACTTCACACAACCGAAGCACTCCCAAATCTAAAGCTGAAACCTTTGCTTGGATGATCTTTTTCTCTTTAACAAATTGTTTTGGTAACAACAAAGAAAGAAAATTATGAAAAAGAAATCACAAGATTTGCTAAGAGAGGAAGAGGGGTGAACAAAATTGCTTACCACATAGTGTATGAGAGAATTAACACCAAAATGGCGCCGCTTGGAAGGAGGAAGAAAATTACTTGCTGTGTTTAGTTTAAGCGTGGACTAGTTTTGGCTAACTGATTGCACATTCAAGTATTTTGAGAGTGATTTTCGTGTTCTAGAAACTAATATGGCCGATTTAATATCCATGGAAGATTAAGTGTACTATTTACTCCCTCTATTCGTCCAAGCTTAAAAAATTAACCAACTAATAACTATTGATTCAAGGAACTTGTTTCCCTTTATTAAAAGTCTGAAATTTAAATCCTAGGAATGGAAGAAAATAATTCTGGAAGAACAATCCCAATGAGTCTGACGGTGCTCAAAAAAGAAAAAAGAAAAAAGAAAAAAAACCCAATTCGACTAATCAATGAATCCAATGGGAAAAAAAAATAAAAAATTGAACCAAGTACCTAAAGCTAAAGACAAAATCCAATTATTATTATCCCGTTAGACAAATATTACAATTGGAAATTTTGAATTATATTTGGTATCCATAAATTTATTAAAATTATTCAAAATTTTGCAATTAAAATTATATGACTAGGCACCCTTTCGTAAAATTTTTGCAAAGTAATCACCAAATTTGTTTTAACACTACTATTTGCACACTAATTTTATTACATTATTTTTATATTATTTAATGTGTAACAAAACAAGAACAATATTCTTTAATATACTCTATATATGTTCTTTTTCCAAAAGCAAAAGATATAAAATATGAAAGATCTCGACTAATTTAGCTAGTAAAGCCAAAAGATACTCATTCTCATCTAGGTAGGGTCAGAGTTATAACCTCCACAAAACAAAAAGTAAGCGCAAAAATGACGTAATTGCACTTCAGGGACAAAATATGGAAGATTTCAAAATAGGTAATTTCAGGGGAAAGCAAGTGAACAATTATCTTAATGCGTAACCTAATATACAGGAAATTTATGATATGGAAAATGAAACATTAAAACCACATGCTAGTTAAATAGTGATAGTCTGATAGATATAACAACAACAGTGATGGTTCACACTGAATGACATTAAAGATATAAGGTGACACATAGCTGTATACCATTATATGGCAATCAGCACCTTGCATACAAGTATGTAGTAGATAAACACACTTATTCTATTGAATAATCTACAGCTGGTTGTCTGGTACCAGTAACTGCATCTTCAGAAGCACTAACAGAAACCATTTATACTCTAAAACATACCAATGTATTAAACATACAAGCACAAACCAGTCAAACAGAAGAGCTAAAACTTAAAGATAACGCATCTTCAGAGCCACTAACAGTTCTGTCAATTGCACTCCTGCATTTAGCATCATTGTAAAGGAGAATCAGTTACAATTTTTCTTTCTTAAAAAAAGAAAAAAATAATATTAACTGGGGAGAAATGATTTTGTCAATTCTTGAAGGCATATTTAGCAACAAAAAAGGATCTCAACTATTTCTTATTTATATTATAAGCTAACAAGAAAAGGACTTAAGCTTTTAAGTAGATAGTAGAATTTTTGAATCATTAGAAGCTAACTTAAGTATGTCACAACAAATAAAGGGGGAATCCATTATTCAACTGGTAAATCACAATAAACTTGATGACAACAATTGATCTTGAAGACAAACACAGCATCCATCCGAATTTCTCACAAAAAGAATTATCCGTTAGATAATGAAATTTTTAAAATCATCAGGCATTAGGCATCTCAAAGAGGAACAAGCATAATACAGATTTGCTATGGATTGAAAACTTACAGTAGGGTAAGATCTTCCATCGCTGGTTTTCACCTTTGTTCCACTCCCAGAGGACTATAGTAGTGCCATCGCGCACACCTCCAGAGTTCTTATCACCATGATAAGCATCCATATTAAGTTGAATATTATTGACCATCCTTATAGCTCTGTGGCCATCACCCAGGTCCCTGCTCTCAGTCCACAGAATAGACTCATCAAGATAGTCTGGATTGTAAGGTAGCAGCCGAACCTACATAAGAATTATGAAAATTCTCATGTAAATAAGAAATTATCAAAAGGGGAGAAAGGAAGAGAGGGGAGGAAAGATGATATTATATAACATTGCTATGATCGCCCAACCAAAGGATCTCCCCTTCTATCAAATGGTTTCTACCCATGAAACAAAGTACAGGGAAACACTAACACGCAACAGACAACCAAAATGCAACTAGACCATAAAATTCCAGAATCCATAACCATATACAAAGCAAACCATTATAAGATCAAATTGTCAAATTATAAAACAAGGAAAGAGTTAATGTTACACATTAACTTTACAAAAAGTTGAAGGGTTGGGGAGGTTGTCCCATTCCAGGGTAAAAACAGGCCACATGCCTTATTGAGCACTGATAGTGAAGATGACCTATCAAAAAAAGTCCACTACTAGGAATTGGACCCAAGAACGTTTTACTGTTACACCTAATTACACTTGTATTTCACTGAAGTTTGAACTCCCTTCTTATTTATTTTGGTAAAAAGAAAATAGAAAAACTAATAAAGGGTTATCTAAGACTCAACTGGCTGCAGTCATCCCAACTTAACCAGTTTGGTAATTTGTACATCAGAACAACAAAGCTCATGCAACTTTGTATTATAAGCATAAAGCTCCAAGAAAATCATTATTAAGCTATTGGGAAAAGACCTTCAAAGTAGACTTTACCATTTGATTTTATTTGAAAACAGTAAAGCTAGCACAGTCATCCTGTTATAAGGTGCATGCTGAAGTAACGGGAACATCAAGATTACAGATTGGTAGCCACTTGCTGTAACAGACAGCAAATTCCAATTCTATCAAATTTCACCTACAGAGAGTTCAAATACTGGCAGAAAAATATAACACCCTATGTTGCCTTCATGTTTAAAGTAAATCCATTTGCCAAAGTCACAGTACCTTCTGTTGCATCTCATTAATACACACATGACCATATCATTCCTTACCTATTAGGATCTCATTCAAACAACTTACAATACTAAGGATGACAATCACTACATCAATAAAATACGCATTTGTTGCAGATGCAAACTCAAAGGAAAAAGGGAAAAACTTTGCAATGAAATCTGAGTGTAAGTAAAACTTGAGAAAGGGATCTTACTGGATGAGTGGCACCAATGGAATGCTTAATGGCCTCACCGGTGGCCTTGTTGACCAAAGCAAAAGCTGGACACCCCTCTTTATCCTTCACCCTGGTGCTGAACTTCTCATCCTTGTACCAATGCTACAAAAGCAAAATAAAAAAAATAAAAATAAAAAATCAATAAAATCAGCAACCCCAAATGAAAAAGATCAAATTTTGAAATCTTGGGTCAATTAAAGTCATCACCTGGTACTCATTGCTGGGGTTGGATGGTGTGAGAATGACATTCCCATGGCGAATGGTAAGACAGTAATTTGGTCCTGCCTTGGTGACAACCCTGAAAGTGGGTTTGGTGGAGAGATTAGAGTGAACCTCATGGCTGACATGGTGAACGTTGGTGGGAACATGGACGCGTTGGGGATGGGGATGGTGGGTCTCGTGAGAAACATGGTGCACAGTAGCGTTGGGAAATGGAGGGGAGTAATCAGCTACAGCTGGTCCTGATGGGTAACCATGGTTGAAGCGGGGATCAGGTGATTCAGATTCATGGTGATAGGAAGGAACATGAGGAGGAGGTGGAGAGTAATTGAAGTCATGGGACACGTGTCCTGATGTTACATGAGATGTGTGGTATACATGGGTCTCTGGCTGATGTGGTGGTGGTGGTGGCTCAGCTACACCGAAGAAGGGTGGTTGTGGTGGTGGAGGGTTGTCAAAGGAAGAGAAGGCGTTGACTGGTGGAGGGTAAATCCGAGATTCTCTATTATCATCATCATCATCATCCCTCCTATGATGGTGGGTGTGGGTAACGTTAGAGTGCTGGCCATGGTTGAAGGGAAATTCCATGGTTGATCTCTTTTCTCAGAAACACAAGAGAAGACAAAGTGTGGTGCTTACTGGTTAAGTAACTTTGGTTTGATATAATTGAGGTTGTACTAAATAATAATAATGTGACAGATAGCGACGTTTGGGGTCCACGCCACCACTTGGCGCGGGTTTCATCGCGAGGACTGAAGAGCGGGTTTTATTTATTTATTTATTTCAAGTTAACGTTACTCGAGAAAAATAAATAAATAAATAAAAATTATCAAACCAGTATTTCTTTGTTTTAAGGATTTAGGAGAGGCGAATCGCCAAATAGTATCTAAAAGATCCTGCCCGGGAAATCGTGTTGAATTTTTTATAAAATAGTTTAGGAATAAATATGTCATTCAAGTGACATAAGCGATCGTGATAACGTCTCCTGCATTTTAAACTGGGTAATGTTAGAAATTTCTGAAGCGATATAGGTATTTTTGGTATAAATAATATCAGTAATTAGATCAATTCCGAAAATAAAGAGAATTAAAATATATTTATCATCATTGCCATTTAATTATTCAAAGTTGATTTTTTATGGTGATTTCCAACAGTGATGGATCCAAAAAATTTGACGAGAGAGGGGTGAAAATAAAAGCTTGACAAAATTTGGATAATGAAATTGGCCAAAATCATGACACATGTCCAAAGTCGAAATCCGAACTCACATCTCGGCGAACCAAACTTGATGCAAAGACTAAAGAATGCATTTATTTTGGTTCGCCGAGATGTGAGTTTGGGTTTCGACTTTGGGATCCAATCAATAAAAAGATCGTGAGAAGTCGAGATGTGATCTTTCATGAGCATGAGAACATTCATGACATCTCGAAGCCCAAAGTCCGGGTTACTGTCAGACGTGAAGAACCCATCCCTCCTGTCTGAGCTGAAGCAGGGGGAGAAAATGAAGAAAATGATGATCAACAACAAGCTGAATATGACCAAGACATTGAGGTCCGAGTTGATGATGAGATCTGGGATGAAAATGATGAACCGGGTTCTCAAGCTGAAGAACAGCCGAGATATCCAACTCGAGAAAGAAGACCCTCTACAAGGTACTCATCTGATGAATACACCGTTGTTGCTGAAGACGGTGAGCCTCAGAGTTATGATGAGGTTGTGATGAGCTCAGAGAAAGAAGAATGGAAAAAGGCAATGCAAGACGAGATGAAGTCTCTGCACGAGAATCAGACTTATGAGCTGACCGAGTTGCCTAAAGGAAGACGAGTTTTGAAAAACAAATGGGTCTACAAGATTAAGAATGAAGAGAACGGGCAAAAGCCGAGATACAAAGCCCGGATTGTAGTGAAAGGCTGCAATCAGAAGAAAGGAGTAGATTTTGAGGAGATTTTTTCTCCTGTGGTGAAAATGACCTCGGTCCGAACCGTGTTAGCCATGGCGGCTTCAATGGACCTCGAGGTAGAACAAATGGACGTGAAGACGGCATTTCTTCATGGTGATTTAGAAGAAGAAATATATATGGAGCAACCTGAAGGATTCCAAGCTCCAGACCAAGAAGACTTGGTATGTCGTTTGAAAAAGAGCCTCTATGGCTTGAAGCAAGCACCTCGGCAGTGGTACAAGAAGTTTGAATCATTCATGACTGATCATAAGTTTGAAAAGACAGATGCCGACTACTGCGTATTTGTGAAGAGGTATGAGGCAGGAGATTTTCTGATTTTGTTGTTATATGTTGACGACATGCTTATTGTAGGGAAAGATAAATCGAAGATAGCCGCCCTGAAGAAGGCGTTGAGCTCGTCCTTCGCAATGAAGGACCTCGGCCCTGCAAAGCAGATTCTCGGAATAAAGATTATCCGAGATAGACAAAAGAAGCTACTGTGGCTGAGTCAAGAGAAATATATTGAGAAGATTTTGAAGAGATTCAGCATGGACAAAGCCAAAACAGTGAGCACCCCCTAGCTGGACACATAAAGCTGAACCAAAAGCAATGTCCGAGATCTGATGAAGACAACAATGAGATGATGAAGGTTCCTTACCAATCCGCCGTCGGAAGCTTGATGTATGCAATGGTTTGCACTAGACCCGACTTGGCGTATGCTGTAGGAATGGTAAACCGGTATTTGTCAAACCCCGACAAAGAGCACTGGGAAGCAGTGAAGTGGATCTTCAAGTACCTATGAGGTACGACCGACTTATGTCTCTGTTTTGGAGAAGGCAAAGCCGAGTTGCAAGGCTACTCGGATTCTGATTTAGGGGGAGACGCCGACTCGAGGAAGTCAACTACAGGATATTTGATGAGTTTTGCCGGAGGAGTTGTCTCTTGGCAATCAAGACTTCAGAAATGTGTTGCACTATCGACAACTGAGGCTGAGTACATTGCCTCTACTGAGGCAAGCAAAGAGATGTTGTGGATGAAGAAGTTCCTCATGGAACTCGGCCATGATCAAGACAAGTACGAGCTGGGTTGTGACAATCAAAGTGCAATCCATCTTGCGAAGAATTCGACCTATCACTCCCGCACTAAGCATATTGATGTGAGGTATCACTGGATCCGGGATGTGGTGGAAGGTGGAGACTCGAACTCGTCAAGGTGCACACTGACCAAAATTGGTCCGACATGATGACAAAGCCGGTTCCAGCAAGAAAATTTGAAGACTGCTGTGAAGGAGCCGGGTTGATGCTGAAGTCGACGCATTGAAGTCGGAGGGGGAGATTTGTTGGGCTTCCTCCTTCAATGCTAAGCCCAAGCCCATTTGAGGGGTTTCCTAAAAACCCTAACCCTAATTTCCACCTCCTCTATATATACTCATTAGTTGAGGGTGGAGGCTAGGTCAAATTTGAGAGAACAAATTTGAGAGAATTATTTGATTGTTTGACCAAAGCTTTATGCTTTGCATTTGAGAGATCTCTAGAGAGAGTTTGGGTGAAACACCTCTAGGGTAGTTTGATTATCACCATTGTTGGAGAGGTTGAGTTAACCACCACGTTGGTGTATTTGATTATTTGTAACCATTATTTTCATAGTGGATTTCTGATCTGGACTAGGTCCCGTGGGTTTTTACTTCTTCATTGGAGAAGGTTTTCCCACGTTAAATCTGTTTGTGTTCTTCTTCTCTCTCTCCTGTTTTCGTTTTGATTTTTCGTTGCGCTGCCTGATCTGGTGAAGTTCAGGCCGAGGTATTGCCGAGATCCGAGATCAGGATCTTGTTGATTGACTTCCGCACAAAAGGCCCCTGAGCTGAGCTTGAGGGAACCGAGAGTTCCCAACATAAACCTGTGATAGAATTTAATTATTTTAAATTAAAAAATATTAAAATTTGAATACAATCTACCGCCCACTCCTTATGGCCTTGAAAACCTTGAGATTTAAACTTCTTCACAGCTACAATAAAATGTTTATACTTCCATTACTAGGCCACTGAGAAAATTGGTGGAACAATACAAAAGGTAAAAAAGAAAAACTAAATAGGAATTGTCACTTTTCCCCTGGCTTTCTCGTCCTCTCTTCTAGTAGTTTTTCATTAGTTTAGCAAATATGGATAACATAAGTTTTAAATAGTTGGTTACACCTAATGTTGATAATTATCAGTTATTATGTAGTTGTTATCCTGATTTAGATGCTATCTTTGAATTCAAATCTGGTTTAACCCATTTGCTACCAAAGTTTCTTAGTTTTGCAAGTGAAGATCCTCATAAGCATCTGAAGGAGTTCCATGTGTTATCCAATACAATAAGGCCACAAGGAGTTGATGAGGAGCAAATAAAGTTGAGAGGTTTTCCTTTCTCCCTGGATGGTGGAGCTAAGAACTGGTTGTATTACCTGCAACCATCATCTATTGGAAACTGAATGATATGGCAAAACTCTTCATGGAGAAATTTTTTCCTTCCTCAAGAGCCACTTCGATCAGAAAGAAAATAAGTGGCATAAGACAAGCAAATGGGGAGAAACCGCATGAATATTAGGAGAGGTTCAAGAGATTTTGTGCAAGATGTCCATGTCACCAGATTCCATATCAACTTCTAATTGTATACTTCTATGAAGGGCTGCTACCAATGGACATGAGTTTAATAGATGCAGCTAGTGGCAGAATTCTAGTCAACAAGACACCTACTACAACCAAAGAATTGATAGAAGACATGGCAGCCAATGCTAAGTAGTTTAGCACCATAGCGAATAACAATGCAGCGTTCCAAGTGCAAACACCCTCATTCCAGTCTTCAACATCACCAGCAGTAGTGTGAAGCACGGATAATCAGAGAATGGAAAACAAGCTTGATGAGTTGACTTCACTGGTGAGACAATTAGCGGTAACACAGACAGTATAACCTCCTTCCACTCCACAGATGAGCAACCCGTGCAGCATCTATTGCAATCCTCTCTCATCCTTGTTACTTATTTTTTGTTATGGTATTGCACAACACTAAAATTAAAGTGCTAGTTGATTCGGGGAGCACTCACAATTTCATCCAAAGGCAACTTATGGTAGAGCTTGCACTTCCTATGGTCCACACCACAAGATACGTGCGTTCCTTGGTAATGATGAGTTCTTGGTTTCAAAAAAGAAATGTTTAAAGGTACCTATTGACTTACAAGGTCACTGTTTTCTCATAGACTTATGGGTGATAGAGTTGTCTTACTTAGGCATTGTGTATGGCATGCCATGGTTGAAAACTCTAGGAAAAGTAACTCAAGATTATCTGAGTATGTCGATGGAGTTTTTATGGCAAGGTAGAAAGGTGAAATACTTCAAGGAGGTATGTTAGGCAATCAAAATGAACCAAAAGTTGTAAGCACATAGATGCCTTAAGAAGTTTATTACGGGGCAAATAGAATGGAGGGCGAACAAAAATGGATGGCATTGTTGCTGACATCCTAGCTTTGAAAGACAAGGTGCATTCGCTTCTATGGCCGATATTGGTTCAATACCACGAAGTCTTCATATTACCTCAAGGGCTTCAACCCTTTAGAGATATGAACCATTCGATCCATTTAGTTGAAGGAGCCAAACCGGTGAACGTCAAGCCATATAGCTATGTCCATCATCAAAAGTCGGAAATTGAGAAGCAGGTATCTGAT